AATACATTAAATATCAAGTAATACATTTCTGTGTTAATAACAGTAATAAATGTAGTAAATATCAAGTAATACTTTACTGTCTAAAAATTTTTCAGCACAGTAATAAATTCAGGAAATATATAATACATTCAGAAAATGTATAATACATTCAGAAAATATATAATACATTCAGAAAATATGTATTACATTCAGAAAATATATAATAAATTCTGAAAACATGTAATAAATGCAGAAAACATGAAATAAATTAAGAAAATATATAATTAAAAAATTATGTAATAAACACAAGAAATATGTAACGAAGACAGAGATCAAAGCATGATTGCAAGATCCAGATGTGGGAATGAGGAATTGAATAATAAGTATTGGATTAAGGAAAATGAAAAGGTATGTAGACTATATACTGTAAAGAGATGGAAAGAGAAAACAAAGAAGAGGAATACTGAAAGGAGACAAAGATGGCACAAAGTGGATGTGAAAAAAACATTGTCAATAACAGTGATAAATTCAGAAAATATCATACAATATATTACCGTTTAATAATTTTCAATAACAGCAATAAATACAGTAAACATCAAGTAATACTTTGCTATTTAAAATTTTTCAATAATAGTAATAAATTCAGGAAATGTAATAAATTCAGAAAACATTAAGTAATACATTTCTGATTAAAAATGATCAATAATGGTAATAAATTGAGTAAATATGAAACAAAACATTTCTATTTACAAATCATCAGTAATAGTAATAAATACAAAAAATAAATTCAGAACATATGTAAGAAATTCAGAAAATATGAAATAATTCATTTTTAATTTCAAACGTACAGTAACATACACCCTCATCCAAAAATATAAGGACGTCTCATATCATCGCATACAAAATTTAACTATTAACACAAATTAAGTGAATTTTACTAGTTGTATGACTTTATCTTAACAGGATGGCTATACGTACTTGCTGTTTATGTCATTAGGTCATCACTTTATCACACTTTATTTATTATAACCATGGGCTATGGTTACTTGCAGTGCGTTTACTTTGATATAAATACTTTCTTGGATGAATTCTTTGAACACATAACAACTTTAAGGTTTATGACTGGGTTTTTATTCATGTTGGCTTATTTGTTTACTTTTTTAAGTAATATAATGTTTTAGATTATGAAAGTTTGACTCTGTTTATTATATGTACCTTGCAGATTTTATACAGTTATGAAAAATAGACTATATAAAAGTAATAATTGTAATATTTAAAACAATTCAGAATATCAAAAGCTGAATGAATGTTTCAATGTAGAACATGACCAAACAAATGTTTATGTAAAACACAGCCTAAGTGTTTTATTTTACACAGTCTAATTATATGTAATTGGCGAGAATTTCTAATTCGTAAAGATTTCTATTGTTTCTCAATAATTCTTCAGGTTTGTGCCTTAATACTTTTAGATTCGGGTGTAGTTCAACAAGCCTAACCTTTATTCATACCATAACCACATTTCGTGCGTCAACATAATAACGTTGCTCAGAATGTATTATGTGTTTTGAGTTTGTTTATTACAATATATAATCTATAGGTTGAGGTTGTTTATTACAATATATATTCTATAAATGATCGTATACAAATTAATGAAACTAACCAAATCGTGCACTGCAGACTCTGTTGTATATTCCTCACAATTGTTGAGAGTTTGTCAACAGTATTGAATACGTGCTGCATCCTTTCTTCTTTCGTCATTATATTACTGTTCCGCAAATAGTTAGTTAACAAAGTAAGGTTAAAAAATACTTTTTTTTACGATGCACGGTACACGTAAACGCGGGAATGCGTCAGTGACACTGACTCAGCGTTGACATGGGAGTGCTCTCAGTGCAGTGATATAAAATTTGCGGAATTTCGATCGCCGCGCGTACGGTGAGGAAAAGTGGAACTAAAAGTCTTGATGTAAGGTTTTGCGGATTTTTCCGCCCATAGCGTAGACCCAGTCTAGCATGCTGTTATGTCTTAGCTTTAAAGTTTGAACCTAGCCGCGCGCGTAATTTGAACGACGTACCACTACACGCGTAATTTTTCCGTATACGTGTATCAGGTAGACGGCAAGACCCAAACTGCAAACCTGCCCTTTAAATGCTCGTGTCTCGAGGATCCTTCAATGACCAGCAAACGCTTTCGCCTCAGCTCCTTCGTTTTCGCGTAAAGGGCTGCAAACGAGTCACGCTCAGCGATTGCACGTGCATATATAATTTTTTTTTAACAGCCATAAACATTTCAATGAATTTAACGAGATAACTGTATGTACTTTATATAATAACAATAATGAAAGTTGAATAATTAGTATGAAAAAATAATCTTATATAATAAATTTTATTAATAATTNCACGGATACAGTGCGATAGTGTGCGTAAGTGGAGGGGCAGATTCTCGGTGGCTCCCGTCCTCAACCTGGCCACACTGCTCCGCACTCCGCTGTGTGAATTTGCAGCTTTGAGTTGGTGCTCGTTTGCTCGAATGAGTCTGTCAAGTCAAGTCTGTCCGCACCGGCGATTTGAGTAAATGCTCAAGATGATGTCTTAAAAATGAGAAACGATTCTGAATACCGGCGGCTATAGATGCTGATTTCTTAAAGTCTTCAATTTGCCACCATGGCTAGTTAGTTTTGTACAGTTTAGAGTTCTTGTTATACGATACGAATTTTGTTAAAAGGAATGAAACGCATCGATTCTTTTTTTTTGTTGAAAAGAAATCGGTGACGAGAGTGCATCGTTTGATGGAATAGAATGTTGAAATCGATTCGGGTCGGTAGGAGAGAAGTATCGATTCATGAATAAAGACGGAAACGGTAGTACGTACGTAGCTGCGTTTCTGCAGTGGCTCTTGTAAGATGCGTTGAAATGCGTGACGTAGCGATGGATGCGAATGAGAAGGGAAAACACTTTATACACCGAATGGTTGTACAGCGATCAACGAGTGGCCAAGTGAGTGAGTGGCTCGTGAGACGAGTGTGAAGATCCTGCGGATCGTGTATGACTGTAATCTGTGTGGATCCAGTCGTTTCTAACCTTTCTGACAGAAGCGTATACCAGTGTTTGATCTCTTGATTATCACTGTCTACTCGTCGAGTTGCGCCGATACGTGAATAACGCCTCGTTACCCTTCGTCGAACGCTAAACGTTGAAATTCATATATACAAAATGGTACGTATCGTTATAGTTTGCAAACGAAGCATTAGCATATTCCTTGAGATCGAACGACTCCTGAACTTTTTTGAGAAATTATAAGAATCGGTTTATTGAACGATGTGAAAGATATTTGAGAACTCGTTAAAAATAACGAGCAAAAGGGTGAAACTCGTGTCGTACAGACCGTTTTCTGAAGAGTCGTTCGCTTTTAAGAAAGTGTCGAAACTTTTGTAAGATCCCGTATGTTTATAAATTACGTTTGACCGAAGTGAAAATCCTGACATCGTGATAGTAACGTTCTCGTGTCTTTTTACATGTTTCTACGTTCAGGAAACGGATAAATCTACGGATTTGGACTTTGTTTACGATGATGCGGATAACTATACCAATGAAATTGCTGAATTGTACAGCTACTCGGAGCAATCTGAATTACAAGTTAATCTTAATGTGAGTATAGGCGTGTCTGTATAACTTTGTCGTGGACTAACGACGTGTATGTGTTCGCATCTAGGCGTTTGAAGAACAAATGGAACTGTATAAACTGATACCTTGGTGGCAAAACATCTCCGAGACTCAACAGAAGTCTGCGATTTATAAGCTGTTGGATCAATTAGAGGTTTCTAATAAACTATTGAGAATGAAGGCGGCAAGGTGCTTCTTGTATTTGGCTCAAGGATGTTGGGCCGAAGTACAATCTGACGTAGAACAGCAAGAGTGGACCAGAAAAAATGTTATGTTGTTGTATGAAGCTGGAGTGTTTTCAGCATTTGTTGAACTACTCAATATTGAAATTATGTACGTTCATGTTCGTGACACGACCGAATTTGACATGTTCACGCTTTTTCATTCGCTTGGGTCCTCGCGTTTTCAGGAATAGTAAACGAGCTGCTTCTGCGATGAGAAAAATCTCGGTTAGTCTTGATGATTCTACAGACTTGAGAGTAATTTTGTCCGTCTTGTACATTATGACAGAAGTGATGAGAGAAGAAATGAAGAGTTTGGACAACAGTATTTATAAGGACAACGTTGAATCTTTTAAGGAAGATTTGATACATCCGTATGGTGGGGACTTACTTATAGTTAAACTCCTTGGTATGGTCACGTTCTTTTGTAGCGGTGCAGCTCCTCACTTTCCAATGAAGAAAGTTCTTTTACTTTTGTGGAAGTTGATCTTGGTGTCTCTGGGAGGTATTGATACTCTGAGAGAATTGAAAAAGCAGTACCGTGAAGAAGCTGGTCTTGAGACGATACAGGAGGATACTTTAGAGGTTGCTAAGACGATGAGACCTAGTTCACCTCCGGTCAGTGCGACGGATTTGATAGAAACGCAGAATCAGAAGAAGTTTCAGAATCATAGATCTTATCGACGAGTATGTTCCGTTTTAGTGTTAAATGTTCTTTCGGATTTCCACGTGGCGCTTGATGATTTATACTTTCAGTTTCTGATGAAACAAAGTTCATTGGATGAACCGGGCTTGGGAATGGAATACGAAGGCGGAGAAATGGGTAACAATAGCACGAACAACGATGGTGAAGGAGAACCTGCTGTGTTTGTGAACAATTCTTCGTGGGGACAATTAGGTACTTATTGTCAGAATGAAAACAATCAGCCTCCACCGAGACCTGATACTCCACAACTCCTGAAAGGGAAAGGTAAAATATTTATTGTTGCATTTCAGACTTTAATCGTTAATGGACTTAGTGAACTAATTGTTCCCACCGATACGCTTTTGATAGGTTTACCGTGGACACCGAAGGTGAGACAAAAGGATGTAGACAGTTTTCTTGAAGCGTCGAGATTAAAATTTGTCGGATATAATCTAGTAGGCGACAGACAAAGTTTGGCAGGTTTGCCACAACCAATACTTGAAGGTGTTGATACACTGAAAAGAGTGAGTTGGGTCAACGGACGCTGTGTTTAAAGACTTGTACGAACGTAGTACATACTTTGATGTTTTCAGCATATGTATATATCATTGGCTGAAGTTCAAATTCAGAAGGAAGAACAAATGCTCAGAAACCCTATAAGCACTCCGAGGTTTCCGATTCGTCAAACACCGACAGAGATTGTTTATCATGCCATATTACCGTTTGTTCCTCAATATATGATTGCGTTGTTAAAAATTTTATTAGCAGCTGCACCGACCAGTAAAACTAAAACCGACAGTACCAATATCATGGCTGATGTCCTGCCGGGACAGATGCCGTGAGTTCGCAGTTTTTTATAGATCGTCTCGTAGATTTAATAATGTTTTGTAACGTTTTTACAGAATGACTGTCTTTCAATCGATGAAGCTCGGTATTGATGTAAACAGACATAAAGAGATTATTGTTAAAGCTGTATCAGCTATACTACTTCTCTTGTTGAAACATTTTAAGCTGAATCACATTTATCAGTTCGAATTCATGTCGCAGCATTTAGTGTTCGCTAACTGCATCCCACTCGTTTTAAAGTTTCTAAATCAGAATATTCTGGCTTACATTGAAACTAAAAACATGCAAGTATTGCCAAGGAACTGAATTACAAATTTTATTCGTTTATAAATTTTTTTATAAAATTTATCTGTCGAACAGCATTCCTCTTTTTGATTTTCCTGTATGCGTTATTGGAGAGCGACCAGATGGACCTATGGAAAATTTTGAAATCGGAGATCACGTACCATACTCGTGGAGAAACGTCTTTTCTTGTATTAATTTATTACGTATTCTTAACAAACTGACGAAATGGAAACACAGTAGAATCATGGTATTTTCGTTGTGTTCAATCGTTCGACTCGTTCGTTTTCTCTTTAATTTATCGTAGATAATTAATCTGACTCATTGTTGCAGATGTTAGTCGTGTTTAAATCGGCACCTATCTTGAAACGTACGTTAAAAGTTAGACATGCAATGATGCAGTTGTATGTTTTAAAATTGTTAAAAATGCAAACGAGGTACTTGGGTCGCCAGTGGCGGAAGACTAACATGAAAACGATCAGTGCGATTTATGCAAAAGTCCGACATCGCTTGAACGACGATTGGGCGTATGGCAATGGTAATATATACCTTGACGAGTACTTTTGAGTGTTTGTATAGAGTAGAATTTACGTGTGCTACAAATTTTACGAGTAATCGTTTTTAATAGATTTAGAAGCCCGACCTTGGGATTTCCAAGTAGACGAATGTGTGCTACGTTCATGCGTTGACCGATTTAATAACTTACGCTACACCAATATTCCCAAAGATAAGGACATGGAGCCTGTCGACAATTCTGTTACATCGGTACTTGGGGTAAACGTAGATTTAAGCGATGAATTTAAACAACATTACGAATTATGGTTACAGCAAGAGGTATTTCAAAGAAGCATTAAATGGGATGAACTACTGGATCCCGCGGCGTGTGAAATTTAAATCTTTAACAAGTGTAAAATAATATACCTATATATAATATATACATTAAAATCGTATTTTCGTCAGTTCATAGACCTGGATCGAATTTTGACGTTTTTATAACTTACATACAATCGTGAAGTGTTCAAAAGAAACATTGCCATATCGATGTATCCGAAACTGAGAGAATTCGTGTTTTGTTTATAATACCCCGAACAGTGAATGGTCCTAATCTGACGAATGTTTAAAAAACACTAGTGACTTTTCAAGAATGGTTTATGAGATCGCGTAATTTTTTACATTTTTGTGTGTGTATTTAATTCGTGCAATGCATATTGCTCGTAGCAATATTTCATTATTACCGTTACAGTTGTAAGTGAACATATACATAATCGCCTTTGCCGTCGCTATAGTCACGAGAATTAGGACAAATTTAATGAAGTATGTTATTCGTATCCTTACTACTCATATTCATATTAACTGAGTTTCTTACACATCGTCTACATTGACATTTATAAAGGAGCCAGTGTTAAGATGTATAATGAATTCATTTAGTTATAACTATTTTCTATGAAACATTTTTGAGCATTTTGTAAATTGAGTACGTTCTCTTCGTTATTAATTCTGACATCGATGCGTGCTCGACCTGTGTGTTTATGTGTAATCGATTTCTTTATGAGAAAGAACGATAGAAGAAGTGAGTTGAACAGCATAATCAGTTGTATATAAATAAATGCATAACGCAAAACTATGAAGCACTCGGTAAAGTGCTTTCCGCTCATGATATTTCATTTG